TACCAGATCAGATCAAGGAGGTGAAGATCATACCTCCAGATCGCATCAAGCGACAAGGAAGGAAAATAGTTTAAATTTGGATGAATTTGGATGAATTTGGAGTAATGCATATTTCGAGTTATGCATTTGGGTACTTGATTTTGTGTTGTAAGCTCTGGAACTTTGTTTCATTTCGTGTTGTGTCGTGTTGTATGACTTGGAAAACTGCGTAAAACTTGAAATCTACTTTGTTTTGTAATGACATTAGTATTATCTATATCAAAACTCGAATCTCATAGTTTTTTCTCTATCAAAACCCGAATATCATAGTTTTACATTTGTTTTCGCAACTCTAACATATATTTATAACAAAACTCGGTCATCAATTTCAGCTAATTTAGGAAAAAAACTCTCACGTATCCCTTACGAGACCTTGCAATTCCAATAACACTTTGGTGGCCAAAGACATCTTACAAACGAAACTTTCGAGTTATATCTATTCGCTAAATATAATTGCACAGAACTATATATATATAACAATTTAAACTAGTAATATTGAAGGTAAAACTAGATAACCAATTTAAATAGATTAGTAACACTAAATAAATTAGAAACCGACAAAAATATAACTATGACCAAATTTGGGAATACTAGTATCTTGGGTATAACTAAGAACAAAGTTTTTTTGGGCAATTAATATTAAAATCGTCTAAATTATCTCAACCACACAATACTCCACTCCCAAAGCCTTTCAAGTCCCTACTTTCAGTTTGACTTTTTATCCCTTTTTCATCTCTCCCTCTCTCTCACTTTTTTATCCCATTTCCTCTCCCTCTCTCTCTCCTCTCTCGTGTCGGGATCCCTCTCGTGTCTCTCTTCTCTATTTCGAGAATCAAATTCTCTCCCCCCCCCTCGCCGAGCAAGTGAGATGGAAAAAGTGAAGATGGAAGTGGGTTCGTCTTTATCGCAAAGGAGCCGCCGATTTTCTTGTCCGAGGTTGTGTCACTGTGGCTTGCCGGCGAAAATAAGGCAAGCTTGGACTGACAAAAATCCTGGTCGACACTTTTATGGCTGTCCGCGTTTTAAGGTATGAATATATGATGGAATCTGGATATAATGGAATCTGGATTTGAATTGGGTTTGAATTTTGACCTTATTGCAGCTTGGAAATGAATGCAAGTACTTCTCTTGGTTCGATGAAGAGGATGGTACATAATGGCAAAGGAGAGCATTGCTTCAAGCCCGTGATTAAATCCGGGAGAAGAATAAAGTGATTGAGAAATTACAGAAGACCATTTCTGAAATGAAAAGTCATTTGGAGAAGAAGAAGACATGGAAGGGCGAGAATGACGAAAATGAAGAAGATGACATTGTTAGGAAGTTTGAAGAATTGTATGCTTAGTTTAAGTGTGGTGTTGAAGAATTAGTTTTCCTAGTATTTCTAGTTTTCCTAGTTTTCATTAAGTTCTCCTAGTTCTCATAGTTGTCCTAGTTTTCATTAAGTTCCCCTACTTTTCCTAATTTTCCTTAAGAGGCACATTCAAAATATAATCATAAGAACTTCCATGATAACAAGATTGCAACATCCATGATAACAAGAACAAGTTCCATCCAACATACCTAATAAGTTAAGAGGTTTCCAACATCCACACAACAACAAAATAATGGGTCCAACTTCCCACAAAATACATAACCGAGTTTACAAAATACATAACCGAGTTCTTCACTCCCTGCTTCCTTGCCCTTCATCCATAGCTTTCTTCATAAACGCTTCAAACGGAACCACAATCCTTTCCTCAAACTTGTCCATTGTCTTCTTAACTCTCTTTAGCTGAGTACCAAACATTTTCACTTGTTTGATCAACTCCTCCATCATCTTCTTCTAGCTTGCGCCTCCTTCCTCTCCACCTTCTTCGTCATCCTGATCTTCGTCGACAGCCTCTTGTGCATTTGGATCACGCGCAGCAACGTCTACATCATACATCTCTTCAAAAAAGACTGAGTGTCCTTCTGCAAGACGCTTTACCCAACTGTCAACAGAAATATCACTGACATCAACGTCGTCCTCCTCTTCAGTCAGCTCTTCCAAAAGAGCTACTTCGTCTTCTATCTTGGTAGGAAGGATGCTGTGGATATCCCCTGACTGATACCAAAAAATTAAAACCAAAAAATAATCACATGTTAGTATAATGCTACAACATTTTCAAAGTTTGTAGCACAAGAAACATTACAACATTTTCAAGATTGTAGCGGAAGAAACATACCATTATTTTGTCCAGTTCCCGATTCAATTTTGAAAGTGAGAACCCTTTCATCCCTGCTGATTTAAAGACTGATCTGCACATCCTAGGACAGTCTACATGGACGTCTACAACATCTTGTCTGAACTCCAATCCCAACTTGGGAATTGCCTCAAAAGCAAGCAACTACATACCAATCATGTACAAACACTTAACACAATAATATTAACAAATGATAAGGTGATTATCTTCAATTGCTTACCTCCAGTGGCAGACATAAACCTGGAAGTGGCCATAAAGTCTTCTCTTTAACCCAACCTCCAAAATGATCCATGGTGTGCGATATCTCCTTAACCATGTAATTAAACAAGTACCTCCCCCATGGAAAGTTTTCGCAGAACTCGAGATCGTCCACAGCTCTTTGGAAGAATTCCAAAATATGTTTGGCGTCTTTTCCTACTTTCGTTTGCGCACAGATAACACTTCCTAAAAAGAACAAAACCATCATCTTCAACCGGTCTCTGTGTTCTCCCATAGCCAAGAGCTTCGCTTTGACATCCTCAAGCCTTATTGATTCTCCCTTCTTGAAATGGCGCTTCACGAACTTTCTATCACCAAACTCCTTATACCCAAGTGGATAGTTGCGGCAGCTAAGACCTGAGATCAAAGCGTGTTCTCTCAGGCCATAGCGGATGGGAACACCATTCACAATGAACCACACTTCCTTCCTCTTCGAGCTATCCATTGTCCGCAATAGCAACATCCACATTCCTTGGACCATGTGGTTTGAGTCCTTCTCCATGTGGAACACGTGAGAGAATTGTGGATGCTCCTCAAACCACTTCCTCTCACTATTACTCATCGGCGGTTCCAGATTGTCAAATGTAACCATAACGTCATTGACGAAACATTTGGTCGCTATCTTATTTGTTTCTTGTACTCCGACTCATAGAAGTACATCCTCAACGGTTTGATTGCCTCGGTTGCCTCTAATTTCTGCAAGTAACATTGTGTTCTATATCAGTTATGCAAGTACTAAAACATAGTTCTCCTAAGTTATCCGAGCATTTCATGGTATATTTAGTTAAACCCTATTCAAGTTCCACACTTATTACCTCTTCTCCTTTCCCGACAACCCCTTGACCATCACCATCAACATTTCCTGATTCCGCTTCCAATGGGGGTTCCTTCTCTCCTTCTTCTCCAGTGTCTTCCTCCTCTTGTATTTCTTCTACTTCTTCATCGCTATTTCCTTCTTCCTCTTCATCTTTGTCTCCATTTTCTTCTTTCTCTTCTTGAGATTCGTCGCTATTTCCTTCTTCCTCTTCATTTCGTCTCCATTTTCTTCTTCCCTTTCTTTCTCCTTCTCCGATTCTTCTTTCTCTTTCTCCCGATCTTCTACATCCTTAGCCGGTTCTTCTACTTCATTCTCCTCCGCAATTCCCGCGGTTCCAACAAAGTCAATCGCCGGTGATTCCTCATCCGTCGTTTTTCTCTTCTTCGAACTCTTCTTCGGTTTGTTCTTCTTCGAGTTCTTCGAGGTCCCGCTCTTTTGCGGAGGAGGATCCGTTGGAGGAGGCCTATCATTTCTCTTACCCAGCCTAGTTTCAACCATGATTCACACGTTTTCAGTGAATAATCGAAGGGAAATCAGAGGAATCGAAGTGGGATGTTCTAGGGTTACGTTTTCGAATATGGAAATTTAGAGGAAACCGTTGAGGGGATTGGGGTTATTTGGATTCGGGTTCGAGATGGTTAAAATCGAGATTGGATCGAGATGGTTTAAGTTGGATTGGGGACGGTTAACATTGAGTGGTTATTTGGATTTGGGTTTCGTTCGTATTTCAATTCGATTCGGTTTTCCCTCCGGTTAAACTTGGTAAAACCCGTAAATAGTTTACCTTCCTTAGGGTTAACTGTAAATTCCATCAATTTGCCATTTTATATTTTTTCCTTTTTGTTTCATGTCTTTCGAAGATTGATTGAGGAGGAGGGTGGGTATAAGAGATGATGTCCCCATTTGATCTGAGTCAATAAGTTAAAAGCAAAAACGAATCAGACTGAAGAAAAAGACAAACCTTTCTCTTTCGAAGAGATCATTATTCGGAGATTATTAGTTTAAGCTTACCATTCCAACCCAGATATTCAACCTCAGCTCCCATAGCATCCATACCGCTGGGGATTTTGCTATGATAGTATGTGGTTGTAATTTCTGGGATGCCATCTTATTTAATTAGTTCAGATATTCCTATTAGATCCAAGTCTATCAAAACTACCATGTTTAAAAAAAGTCAATTAGAGATCCAAGCTATTAAGACTTTGATTCTAGTTACCTGAACAATTTAAAAAGGAAGCTTAACTCAGCCTGGAGAAATGTCGTAATGTGAACGTCTTTCACGTTGGAAAGATTAATAAAGGGTGTGGTGGAGTTAACTACATAGTAACAGAAATTGCTGACAGACGATAAGAAAAATGAAGGTGAAGAGTTGGTGATCTCTGTCTCGCTCTTGGACCGAGAGATGGGTTTGCCTAAGAATGGGTAACTTTTAATTAGATAGAGTCCACATATTTCTGTCCAGTTCAATTTTAGTTGGACAATAGCAATTAGGTGACATGGCATGAAAGTGACTTCTGATTAGTTAATTTTTAATCCTATCTGGCATCTCCATCCTTTCACCTTATCGTACTTTTAGTATTGTTAGATATATATAATCACAATACTTTTATCTGTCTTATTTGGTTTACATATATAGACAAGGCAAGCTGAGGTGAAATGAGTGTTCAACAAGAGGTATTGCATGGATACAAACCATCAACTAGCTTCACTGGTGTTCGGTTGAAGTACCAATCACCTACAGACTCTGCGATTGTCTGTTCAACAACAACAAAAAACAACAGACGCAAATTGATTAAAACTATATGCTAGATGAAAGGCTCTAGAAAGAAAGCAAGAGATTGTGTAAACTGTCTCTACCTTATTTTCGATTCTTACTGAGGATGGGGAGTGCCATAAGTCTTTCGTAAGTGTCTGGCAATGAGAATAGCAAGAATTAATGAACATCCCACCATCTTTCTTCTGACGAAATTCGCCCATCGCATCCATCAGAGAATTGCGGAAACCTGAAAATCAAAATAAGATATATAACTATGCTCCACGGAACACCAATTTTGTTGTTGTTAAAAGGGCAAAATATCTGTGGGAGAACTAATAAAATTCTTTATCATTAAAGTTTATTAATGAGTTAATCACCATGTAGAACTTTCATCTGTGCAGCATCACAGTCCTGAAGATTGAGTAGGCAATTTTCCCATCTTTGATCTGGATCCGTATACGCTGGTACCAAGACATTTTGTATCTGAATGTGTTCCTAGTGTTAGTGAAAATGTGAAATAGTAAAGATGAACTATATATGCTCATGCTTTGATTTGTAACTCTAACCTGCCAATAATCGTAGGCCGGGTTGATAAGAAAGACCGGAGTTCTTATGTTTTTAAGGAATTCTTGAGGAAACATACACTACAAAACCGAAATCAAGATGTCTCAGATACTGAACACAAACTTTCAAGAAATATTATATGGCTAAATAGAAATATACAAAAAGGACGAGAGAAATCCTACCTTAGATGGCTCTGTTTTGGCTACACAATTCTGATCCAAGCTCGTTTGTACGCCCTGGTTGGTCAAGCATTCAAGAAAATATGTCGCGAAGTGTATGATTTGACTATTGAAAGAAAGTGAATATGAACCTGGAGGCTAACAACATCATGATAGAAAGATCTCATTGTCGAGTTTCCAAGAATATCGGGCCTGAAAATGAAGAAAAATAGCTTTTATGAAGAGACATTATCAGACATTAACTTCCTTAGCTTAAACGAGGTAAGATTCAAATAACTTATCAACAGTCCTGAGCAAGACAATACATAAAAGGCACTTATATGGGAGGAAACATACACATTGAGAAAATAGCCTCCATCGGAAACACATTTGACAGATGCATCTTTTGGCAGATGATCTCTAAAGTAGTCACAATGTATAAGAGTTGCCAAGCCACCAGCAGAACATCCTGTGAGAATGGCCTGCAAATTATCAAATGTGTGCAAGAAAACATAAATGTTAATCTCAATCTAGACAAAAAAAGTTACCAAAGAAAATATCATATTGATTTATAAATGAATATATTACAAGATAGAGTTTCATGATTACCAGTACACGATCCTTTTCTATAAGAGCAAGAGGAAGCTACCTGTTTTGCATGTGACAGGCCCATTGACAACAGTTCATCCATAATTGCCTCCCAAATCAGCTGGCCCCGGAAGAAAAGCCGTGTTTCATTCTGAGAAGAAAGAAAATAAACATGTAACCTATTCAGTTTACTTTCAAGTGTTTCCAACAAAGTACAAGAAATCACTAGGCGGCAATTAAGTGCTTCATAGGGGATTAATGCTTAGACAGACGTTTAGGCGCCTAAGAGTCGTTTTATTTATGACGGATCTGTCGTCATGTGCCGCGCAAAACTATTTCTAAAACTCTGGTTTCCAACACAAAAACTAATAGGTTAAATTTGTTACCTTGAATTCAGCTCCAGGGTTCCCAGCAAATGAAGCACCATCACAATACCGTATCTTAACTCTATTCCAGTTATAGAAGTCTATAAACAACAAGAGAAGAATACATATATTCAAAACCAAAACCTACAAATAAAAAACAACAAACTACAAGTAGTATGGAAGAAGTTCAACTAATAAAGAAAGCAACTACAAAATCTGTTACCAGGGTTTTGAGATGGGTCACTGCTTAAAATGCCTTCAATGGTGACTTCATGTTCAAAGTAGTTGGAAGAACCTAAGCTAGTCGTTGCTCGAGAAAAACAGGACTCTATAGAGTTACACCAGGCTCCACCCTTTATAACATTTCACTAGTATATATTATAATTTCCAAGTATATTCAATATTTAACAAAAAAAAAAAAGAAGAAGAAAACCTCCAAGAAAAGAAGCCAGCTTGTGGAGCCACATCCCGATCCCTTGTGAAAGTGGTAACCAGGCAAGCTTCCATCCAAGCAAACTGCAAGTACTTATATAAGTGCTTCAAAAAGCTGTAAAACGAGGAAAAGAAGAAGAAATATTAACAGTACATGCTCCTCTCTCTTTAGCTTTATGTGACAATGTCAAGTTGACCATATCACTATGGTCAACGGATGGGACCGAGTTCGAAGTGGAATCAACGAAGACAAGGAAAGAAAATATGATCAAGACGAATCCGGTTGCGGCAAGGCAGTCACTCTTATACCATCTTCTGCATCTGTGCATAGAGTGAAATCTTGGAATTGCCATTGACGAATAGGTGAAGGTACACACTGTTTCGGATGCTTAGAAACAAAATCGGTTTATAACGTTGAGTTGTGTTGCTTTTGTAATGACGTCTTTCAACGATCAAATACACATTAGAAAACGAAGCAGCCGCATGTGACTTTCTCTTCTCTTTTATTATTACTATACTAGACTTTATACTGGCGCTACACACAAGAGTCTGTATTAATAATTTAATTAATAATGTAATCAGAGATTATAATAATTTTTAAAATCTAAAATATAATTAATTTCTTTATTTTGATTTTGTGAAATGTATTTATGATATTATGAAAATAATATATGTAACTCACTTTTTGAGAATATATGAGGTAAGTCCAACTTTGATTTTATGATGTCTTCCGTCTTTCAAGGGACATTCAAAACTGTGTTCAGGATGTTCTCAAAAAAATTCTTCTCTGTATGCATCACATCGAGGTTGTGACGCAAAAGAAGATCTTTCCAATATGGCAATTCCTAAAATATATTCTTCTTGTGCCAATTGTGCTAAAATCGGTAAAAATCAGGCATATTATTGGAAACATGTCAATTACCACCACGAGGAACGGTTTTAAGAGCATCGTAGTAATTGATTTTCGCTTTGATTTGTTCTCCAGTTAAATATGGAGGAGGTGTGTCTCTCACAACCCTTTTGTCCCTGAACAATGTCTTGTTTCTTCTGTACGGATGGTGAATGGGAAGAAATCGACGGTGACAATCAAACCAACTTGTCTTCCTACCATTTTTCAACTGAAATTCATCTGTCATTCCATTACAATACGGACAAGGTAATCTCCCATGTGTACTCCATCAAGACAACATCACATAAGCTGGAAAGTCACTCTTATGGTCCAGAAAAGCATCACTCGCATCGTAAAATTTGTCTTTGTTAAACAATCATACGTCCTCACCCCTATTGACCACAAATCTTTCAACTCTTTTATCAGTGGTTGTAGAAAAACATTGAGAGAGCTTTTTGGATGCTTCGGAACAGGTATTTGGTCAAGAATAGAAACTACTGTACAATGCACATCTTTGGTGGCAGGTTGTATTGCGTAAGAAAGACTGGCCACAATGAGTATTGTTTCCCTGACATTGCAAATAGACTAAATCCATCTGTGCATAATCCAAGATACACATTCCGGCTATTGCTAGCGAAATCAGGATGTACTTTGTTAAATGTTTTCAAGATTTGGCATCTGATGGATGAGTCATCTCACCATCCGTCTAAGTATGCTCGGCATGCCATCTCATCCCTGCAGCAGTCTCCTCAGATTGGTACAATCTTTTCAATCTGGATCTGTAATTGATAGGTACCACATCCTTTGATACGGTACCCTAATACACCCTCGTCCTTGCGGTTTGATTCGTGTCTTCTTGTAGAATCAACATTCTTCTAACTTCTCATCATCTCCCCAGTAAATCATGCAGTTGTTGATGCAAACATTTATCATCTCCGAAGGCACCCAAGACTATAAACCAACACTACAAGAAATAAGGGTTTTAATAGCACTGTAAGATAGCGTTTAATTAGTGTGTGCTATAGTATGTTGGTGGGTGGAAATATAATAGTGTTTCACTAACTAAAACGCTATTATATCTGGAGCGGCAAAATGAAATTTGGAAGCGTGTATTGTTTTGGGATTTTGATCTTTGTATTATAGCACGGAGAAAGAATAAACGTTATAGTATTTTCGACCGCGTATTTTTTTATTAAAACCCTGGAAATGAAAAAAAAATTGGGGACGAAAATATCATTGACCAAACAAAAGCAGTGTCTTCTTCGTTCATGCATTTTCATTAATCCATCTCTTCATTTTCTCTCCCAAAAATATTTGGCTGTTCTTCGTTCATCCCTTTCTGAATCATCAATCGTCTTCTTTCAATCTCAGGTTCGTCTTTTATTAACCCTCTAATAGACTTCTATGAATCTCCTTTTCGTCGATCTTTGTCTCGATCGTCCATTTATCTTACTCTTAATCGATTGCATGCATCATGAAAATTAATCGATTGCTTATTATCTCAATAGATCTGTATCGTCTTCGATTCGGAATTTACAGTAACAACCAAGTTGTGATTTTATTTTTTTAGGAACAAATTAACATGCCGAAAACACGAGGAGGAAAAACGCCTCAAGTTAGAAGAAACAGACGCTCGGAAGGTTTGGAAGCAGAGACATAATTCATTAACCCAGTCCGAACCAAAATCCGTAAGTTAAATAAGCCAAAAAGATGCTATTGAAGAAGAAACCGTTGAAATAAGGAAAGAAGGTGGTGAAGAAGAAGAAACAAAGGTTTCTGAAGAAGTTGCTGAATTTCATGAGGAGGAAGTTGATGGTGATGAAGTTGAAGTGGGAAAAGATGTTGGTTCTGAAGTTCCAGAGGTAGAAATAGAAGATGATGATAATGGAGTTACTGAATAACATTCTAAGCCTACAGAAGCTGATAATGGAGTTACTACAGAACATTCTCAGCCTACAGAAGCTGAGGATGAAGTTCCTGAAGAACCTTCTCATCCGACAGAAGTTGACACCCAAGCTGAGAATGACATTTCAGGAGCAGAAGCACCGCCATCTGATGGAAAACCAAAGAAGAAAAGAGGACCCACAAAGATACGTAAAGTGGCCAAGGATCCTGAAGAGAAGGTTTCTGTGTCATTCACTGAGTTTGGCGAACATGTAGGTCCCGGATCAGTGACACTGTCATCGTTCCTTGGACCTCTTGTACGCGAACACGTGATTGTACTTCTTGATGATTGGAGGAATCTTGATCAGCAGACAAAGGACACACTATGGGAGGAAATTCAGGTATATATATATATGCACTTAACTCTATTGTATATATGTCTTTGTAAGGATTACAATATGTGATGTTTTCATACATTACTGCAGGCGAGGTTCGATTTGAAATAACAGTGGCAAAAGATTCTGTCTTCAGACAGATGGGTTTTTTGTGGAGATGTGGAAAGTCAAGGCTTGTATCACAACTTCGAGATGCAAAAAGCAGCACAGAGAGATTAGCTCTGAAACCAAGCAACATTCGATCTGTTCAAGTTTGGAGCTCTTGGGTTAAGAGTAGGACTTCATCAGCATTCTAGGTGACGTAAACAGAGCATTTGGTTTTTAGGTGTTTAATTTGGAGATTTGATTGATGAAATTTGCTTTAATGATGTTCTAGGCAAAGAGTGACAAGTACAGAGCATTTAGGAGGGCTCAGATTCCTCACACCACTAGTCGTAGAGGAATGAATCGTCTAGCTTGTGAAATGGTAAGTAACAATATGTAATTATATTAGATATAATGATAGAACATCTGATAATAAAACAATATATCACTTGTAGAAAAAAAATAGTGCAGGCCCTAATAAGATTAACCGGAGCAAGGTCTGGATATCAGGTCACACTCACGCCGATGGTAGACCTGTTAGATCTGAGTTTGCTGAAACCATTGTAAGATTTCAATATCTGATTAATTAAGTTACTCTTTTTGGTATTGATAAGGACTATAACTTATATTGTATTGTCTCAGGACAAAATTATTTCACTTGATAGTCTAACGGACTCCACATCCACTGTTAATATAAAAGACGATGCTGTTAGTTAAGTGTTGGGAGTAGACAAACCTGGACAAGTCAGAGGGTTGGGAAGAGGGATTATGCTACGAAGCTAGCATTTTTGTCAGCTAGAGACTCCAAACTTGCAGACTTGGAAACCGAGCTTAAAGAATTGAGGAATCAGCTACGTGACTTACCTGGAAATAAGGTGAATTTTTAAAAGTCTTTTACTACTTATAATATGTAGAATTTTCTTAAGTGATATAAAATCTTTGATTCATTTTATTTCTTAACAGAAAAAATGATGATTGTGTTTCTCCATCTGAGTCTAGTTATGAATACAAAGAAGGAACTAGAGTTCAACTACTTGATTGGTGTGAGTCAAACGATGTTGTTGTAGCTGAAGGAGAATGGTGCTCTTTTGAACCTACATACAAGATTGGTCGCATTCCAATTGGTCCTAATGCGGCAGCGGTTGTTGTTAAGTCGGTATCAAACCTGAAGGCATCTGTCGGGAGGCCAACTACGGATGTGAGTAATCTTCAGGAAGCAGTGGGATGCAAGATTCCATGGCCAATGGATAAACTGATACTAGATAGTGCATCGAACAACCATCCAGTTTCCTCGGATGTGTTAGGATCAAAGGTAATTCCATTAGCAGATATACTTAGGTTTTATTTTGAAATTCAACACGATCACTAACCATATGCATTATGAATTTAGCATACTAGTGAAGATGATCTTGAAAGGTGCAAAATCTACGATTGGGTTAATGGCGTTGAGGTAATCGCTGAAGGTTATATGGGTTCCACTGACCCACATGAGCTGGTCAACAATGTTCATTTGGGTCCGAATGCTGTAGTTGTGAGAATTGCTAAGGTGATTGATGGGAAAGCTTTTCTATGGAGGCCAACAACTGAAATGACAACAATGAGTGATGCTGTTAATGAAAAGATCGCATGGCCGCTCCATAATGTATCAGTAATTAAAGTTTCTGAAGATCCAGGCGAAACTACTTTCAGAAAGCCTTCATTGGTAAATTTACAATCTTATTCTTTTTTGTAAATTTTGTTACAATATTTTATTTAGATGAACTTGCTAGGATGTATCTGTTGTAATTGTAGTGTCCAAGTGGCAGCACTAGTTCTACCAGATCAGGTCCAAGGAAGAAGTGCATTTTGTTGGACCATAACAACTCATGACGAAAAGTCGCAGAAGGCAGAGTAAGTTGTACTGATCCATCAACTCTTGTCCATCACGTCCCGTTAGGTCCCAATGCAAGTCGGGTCTGGGTTGAAGTTGCCTTGATTGAAGATGCACCTCTATGGAGACCAAATTCTTTTTCTCGAAGACATATCAGATGTTGTGGGCAGCACAATGGTTTGGCCTAATGATAAGATCACGTATGTTTGAAAACAAAGTGTATGTTTGATT